TGGGAAGTTTTTCTTTATATATACAATATATAATTATATATAAATACACATATGTATGTATATACACACATACACTATATATGCACACATGTATCTGTATATATGTATTTGTATTTATTTATGCATATATAGTATCTATATGTGTACATTTGTTTGTTTTGGGAACAGACTCTAAAAGGCCCTGAACCAGGCTAGACAATAGCATGGTTGTTGTCTCTATCAAATTACTATCTTCAGGGCCAGCACTGTGGCATAGCAGGTAGGGCCACAACCTGTAGTGGTGACATCCCATGTGGGCATCGGTTCAAGTCTTGGCTGCTCCACTTCCCATCCAGCTCTCTGCTATGGCCTGGGAAAGCAGTAGATGATGGCCCAAGTCCTTATGCCTCTGCACTCACATGGGCGACCTGGAAGAAGCTCCTGGCTTCTGGTTTGGATTGGCGCAGCTCCAGCCATTGTGGCCAATTGGGGAATGAACCAGTGGATAGATCTCTCTCTCTCTCTTTCTCTCTCTCTCTCTCTGTCTCTCCTCTCTCTATGTACCTCTGACATTCAAATAAATAAATAAATCTTAAAAAAATTCTATCATCACCATTATCATCACCATCAACTACACATTTTCAGAAAAAGAGGAAAACTATTGGTATTCAAACAGTTCAAAAGGGGAGGGCCACGGGAGGGAGGGAGGTTGGGGGGGGGAGGACCACAACAATACAAAAGTTGCACTTTGTAAATTCACGTTTATTAAATAAAAGATAATAACTATATAACAAACAAAAAAAGGAAAAAAAGAACTTAATACTTTACCCTTTTAGTATTTTTTATGCTCTACTTAAAACTATTGGTTGAACTCTGTAATACACAATTACTCTTAGGTGTTTAATTAATGCTATAACTAGTACTCAAATAGTATTTTACACTTTGTGTTTCTGTGTGGGTGCAAACTGTTGAAATCTTTACTCAATATATGCTAAATTGATCTTCTGTATATAAAGATAATTGAAAATGAATCTTTATGTGAATGGAAAGGGAGAGGGAGTGGGAGAGGGGAGTGTTGTGGGTGGGAGGGAAGTTATGGGGTGGGGGAAGCTATTGTAATCCATAAGCTGTACTTTGGAAATTTATGTTCATTAAATAAAATAAAATATAAATATAAAAAAAGAAAATTTGGTTTTGTTGTAATCATTATTCAGGAGGTGATTTTTGTTATAATTTGTATAGCATGAAATTTTACATAGCATAAAATGTATCATTTCATGTGTATAGTTTACTTATTTCCATCTTTGCTTTCCCTGTTTGCCCAACCAACCCAGTTGTTTTCTTAATCTCTGGTCATGAATTGCAAACTTTTCAATCCAAATCCTACCTGATCAAGATTTTTCCAAGGATATTTGTTTTTCATTGTAACAAATAAACTCAAAGTCAGTGGCTTAAGTAACATAAGTTTACAACTTCCCAGTTTTGTAGTTCTCACCTAAAATCAAAGTGCTAGCTGTACTCATTCCTTCTGAAGTCTTCAGGGGAGAATACATTTCTTTGCTTTTTCTAATTTCCAGAGGCACCCTGCATCTTTGTTCATGGTTCTTTTCTTCACCTTCAAATCTAGCAGCATTGCATCTTCAAATGTCCCTGGGATTCCACTCCACTTGCCTTCATCTCTCACTTCTAAGGACATTTGTGGTTAACGATGCATCTACACAGATAACAGGATAACAGCTCCAGCTCAAAATCCTTAACTTAATCATTTCTGCAAAGTCCCTTTTGTCTTATGTAGGAATAGTCATAGATTCTGAAGATTGGAAGAGAGCTATCTTTCTGGGCTGCTGTTTGGTCTACCACAATGTATTGCATGAATAAGGTCATCTAGTATCTTTCTACATTTTAGGTGGTCCTTTACATCCAGGAAAATTTTCTTGAACACTTCTCTGGATTTCATGGTTTACGAAATTTAAAAGCCATTTCTAAGAATTACTAGGGGTCGTCTAAATGTTCATGGAATTGTATGTTAAAAATAATTATGGTTGGATTTCAAAAACTTTGAACTGAAATAAATTTATCTTTTAATACTATTTCCCACAACATTTGTAGTGTCCTCACATGTTCATTGCCTATCTATATACGAATTACTCTATCTGAAATAACTTCCTTTTACCAATTTCCACAAAAATATATCCACCACATTACTTGTGAGTTTCATCTAATTTACTAAATATTTGGAAATTTATGGGGAAAGCCCTCCATCTCACTGAATCCTTTCATTTTCTCATTCTTCTCCATTTCTCTTCTTATCTACCTACCTCTCTGAATACCGCAGGATTTCCGAATTCTTCTGCTTTTCTTGTATAGAACAGTTCACTTTTGGAAAAGCTTAATTATCAAACTTAAAAATCTCTACCAAAGCGCATGAAAGAAAGGCCTCGAATTAATAAGTTTCTGTGTTTATTGAAAATAGCTATAGCCAGCAAAATGTTTTATGCTTTCAGTTATAAAATAATGCTATAATTTTTATTAAATATTGTTATAGTTCATTAAAAATATTGTCAAGTATCTTCCATTATTTGAACACATATTTGATATGAATATCCAAATAATATCTTATTGGCATTCATTATTTATAATTCTGTTTGCTTTTATTAAATATCACTCTATATTATGCATTTTGTTAAATGCAAAGCTAATAAAGCAGAATAAAACATAAGGTACATATGTTATTGGCTCATATTCTTTATTGATGTGCTTTAGCTCTCGTCCATCCATATATTTTGTTTGGTTACATATTTGGGGAATTGTCACGTGGTCACCCATGAGTAATGGCCAAACTAAACTGATAGCAGCAAAAGGTTTGGATTTGGTACTAATATAAATGGTGTCCATTACCTAAATCCCAGTTGCCATGTAAATAGCAGTGTTAAAATGGATATTTCTGAGAGGGAAAAATGATTTCCTGAATAAGCTTCTTAAAGGCAAATACCTAGTATAATGAGATTTAAGAAATTTCAATTCCTTTGTGCATCCCCAATGTGCATGCAGCTTGGGAACTAGAACTTTGAAATTTGTGGGGACTGTCTTCCTTGCTCACTTGACTTCCTTGTTGCCCAGTACGTAGTAAGCACCAAGGTTTAAAATATTTATTGAGTGATTAAGTAAATAATATAGAAAAATATTTAATAAGATACTAAATATCATTTTTGATTACCCATTATATTCCAGAAAGTGTGCTGAATTCTCTCTCTCTCTCTCTCTATATATATATATGTTAATTCAATTTTTTTCTTACCACACTTAATGGAAATACTGAATTCAGGAGACTTTAGTACCTTGTCATAGTCATATAACTCTCGGTAATGATAAGCTCACATTGAATCATAATCATAATCATCTCATGGATCCTCTGGCTCATTTACTAGACTGTAACTCCCCATAGTGATTTTGACTTGCATATGCCTGTTTCACCAATGTGAGGCTCAGAGACTAACAGAGGGGGTTTGTTTAGGTACTGCTTCTAGTTTGGAATGTTTCAACTTGGGAGAATTCCTGTCAATATAAGGAAAGTGTGCTGAGGACACAGAAATTTGGGGAGCTATACCTAGTGTAATCACTGAAACAAACTGGGCTATGCTAATTGATCCATCCCAACAGCTTGGTTCTTTTTCCAGTACTATTCCCAATAGGAGATTTACATGAGGGTCAGCTACATCTGTAATATTTATATAAAAACATAATAAAATATAAATCTCAAACCAGATTCTGTGATACACAAAGAAATGTATTAAACACAACATTTATGATCAATCAAACACAAAATAATTCCTGCAATTGGTGCTGTAATCTTAGAGTTATGCACTACTTTTGGATATTTTGACCATTACCTGGTAAGAAAAAATCTTAATTGGTATGTGTGAACCCAGGCAGTTTCTGTAACTTTTGTAGTAGTCATTGAACAATAATATATTCTCCTATAGTAATGGCTGAACATAGATCACTTTAGGATAAAACCATGGCCATCATCTGAGAATACTGTTCATAGACTTCACTCAATTCTTATATTATGATTCTGAAAGTAGAGGCTAGTCTTACTATGGTAGATGAAAGCATTCACAAATCTTAAATACCTCTAATTTCACCAAGAACCTACATCTAAAGGTCATCATGCTAATTCACAAGCCAATAGTCTCAGATACACATTTTGACATTTGACATGTTAATTTTCAAATTCTCTGATATGGGTGAAGAAAAGGATAACAGTAACCCTCTTTCTTAACTTCAGAGAATATTCTGTCTGATGTGTCAAAGCACACCTCTGAAATGTGGTTCTCAATTAGGATGACTGATTAAGATTAATTGATTAAGGTAGCTGAGATTTAACTAATTGGCACACTCATTGCACAATCTATGGTGAATTGCACATACATATATAAATACATGTATATGTGCATGTAGTACATATCTTAAAATCTGTAAATATGTGTCTGTATGCATATAATCAACTTTAGTGCTGTCTCTTGTAGGGGCCATCTGCTCTCTAGAATTATGATTTAAGGTTTGAGAACTAGGTGGTTTTAGTGGTCTCTCCAGAAGTAGAACTTGGTGTATAGCTTTCTTATAACCCCATTAAATTATGCTCTTTATATAATCTGTGATTCCCAAATAATTTGTAGAAATTTTATATAACTCAGATTTAAGTATTTGATATACTATAATTAATCATCATATTTGTGTGAGTTTTTCTTTCCCAAGAAATTTATAAACTATTCATTTCAAGAAATTAGTGTGGTTTTCCCATTTTCATTTGTTTACAATTTATTTCACAGAGATGTATCACCTTTACTATAGATTTCATTTTCTCTTTCTTATCTCCATGCCGATTTGAAAAGTAGAATCAGAACAGTGACTATACAGTAAATGTTGTTGATTGACTGAAAAACACCCTATTATAAAACTATCATTATTGAAGTTTGTAGGTTTCTTTTCCTAATTTCAAAATGCCTTTTTCATTTTAGATCACCCCAGGTAGCAGTCTCACAACATCAATCTATTGATTCTCACTGCACGAGGTGAAGAAGAAACCACCAGTTCAGGTATGGCTTCCAGTATCACAAATTACCCACTCAAAATTAAATATATATAATGCTCTTGTGACTAAAACTTTAAAAATATTCTCATAATAAAACATGAAGCAATTGATTTTTGGAAATTACTAGAAGCAAGAGGCCATTTCTTTTCCTAACACAAGATCTCTTTTGTGGAAAAGAAACTATTTATACAAGTACTTGTTAAGGCTTCTACATTGTAATTTACTCCACCTAATAATTACCCTATCACCACATATTCTGTCTAAATGTCTTTAGTCACAGTCTTTCTAATGTAATCTGGATGCTCATTGTTTTTCTGTTTGATATGCACTGGGAGCCCACAGCATCTTCTTATTCTAATCAGTATTTGAGTGCATTGTCTGTTGAAAGGAAAGTAACAATGATTAGTAGGACAGATGTTTCCCTTGAATGTGAAAATGTAGGGGTTAAAACCACAAATTAAAACCAAATGCTTACAGTCTTTGCATTTTGGGGGATGGTGAGATTAAAATTATCATCAACTAAAAAGCAGGTTATGGTTAGAGTTGTAATGACTTGCAAAATAGATGGCATTTGGAAATAGCTCAACTGTCCACTCTGGAGAATGAACACATAACTGTATGCACATACAACTATAGTGTGTTGGTTAAATGAAGTATTCTGTCTTTATGCATGTTGATTTTGACAAAGAGCCTAAGGGAAATGTGGAAAAGGGAAACAGATATTCAAAATTACATGCCAGTTGTATTAGTATATAATAGAAAGATTAAAAGAGCCTATGCATGGATTATCATTATTTACTGACATATTACTCTTTGTATATTAATACAATGAATTAATGAATTCCTCTGCTGTGTTGGCTGGAGATGCTATAAAAAGCAGTGTTTATGACATTAAGTTGTGAAACAATTTTATAATAGCTAAGTAATTTCTTTCATATTGGTCATCTATGTCTCTTATTTTTGCATTTTCCTTGATATTTTTAGCAGGGATTTCTCATTATATGAGTATGAGATCATGAGAAAAAACTTTAAAATATAATATATCTGTTCATGAGCTGATATTAATTTCACATTGAAGGAAAGAGTTGAGGCTAAGATCATATATTATATTGTAATTCATATAACAATTCATACATTTTACTTAAATAATTTGGGTTAATTCTTCCTTTCAATCTTTAGAAATGCTTGTGGATAATAGGTAATGAATAAACTGTAGAATGGAGATGAGAAGCCCAGACTAGGGATGGGTGCCTTCTTAGCTGAAGTCTCTTAAAGCCCAGTAGAGAATGCAGCTTACCATCACTTCAAGAGTAATAACAGGTGGTTTTGTGATTACTATAGTACCAGTCATCAGGCTGATTTTAGTTGCTTCTTTATTTTTTGGTCTGAGTTGCTTAAACAATTGTTAATAAAGAAGGATGTGCAATTTTGGTTTGGATTGACCCCTCTGCTAGCTGCACTTTACATATCTTTTTAGGTTATGGAATCGCACATATAATTTGCTCTATAACATTTTCTTTATTCACATAGAGTTCAGAGATGCGTAATGAAGCATCTGAGGTATCAATATTCATAATTAGATGGTTTTTAGGCTTCCTGCCTAGGAAGGTGGTAATAGAGTGGGATTTCTATATTTTGTGAGACCTTTTCCCATTTCATATCTTACCACGCCACCTCCAAATACACAGCAGTAACTGATTTTGACCACAGCAATTTACTTAACATATGCTTTTGTTGGTGTACTTCCATCAACTTAGCGAAGCCTTTTACCCAAGCTCACATTTGAAAACATCAAATCAATAATAAATAAAGTAAGAAAGACTGGTTTCAGAGCACAGAGTGCACTGCCTCCATGATTCAAGCTGCTTAAACCTTCCTGCTCTTGAGCTATTACATAAAAGGCCCCATTGGAGGAAAAATGGTTTCTCTCATGTAGTATTTAATATCTTTTAAAATATTTTAGTATAAAACAAAGAGATCTATCTAAATATATTTTGAATACCCCATTTGATAACTACCTGATTATTGGAATCTCTTTATAGTACACAGATTTTAGACTTATACACAAGTAGATTTAAATCCAAATCCTATCCTTGCTTTTGCTAGTTGTGGAGCATGAGAAAATTAACTATATTCTGTTTCTGTATCTGAAAGTTTTGAATAACAATATTACCTGAAAGGATTTTGCCAAAGGTTGACCATAATATACATTTGAAACTCTTATTATGCTGTGTAAAACTGAGCTAACACTGAAAAATAATAGCTGTATCATGAAACTGCTTAGATTATTAAACAGTGATATAAATATATAGGAAATTAAGTATTATATACATAATAAATATAAGAAATGAAGTGTGAGGGGGAGGAGAAGAATGGAGGGAGGCAGAGAGATGGGGTTGTCACAACAAATAAGAATGGCTTTCCTGTTTTCAAGTAGTCAGAATAGATAAAAAAAAATCTTAGCTCTGAAACTGTGCTGAATATAGCTTGAGGTTTGAAGATTCACAGTGCCCCAGGTCTTTATTGCTATTGATTATCATTATAAGCACAGAAAAACAGTCGTACAGAATGTTCTATTTAAGAAGTTTCCTAAGAAAGCCATGGTAAAGTGACCAAACACAGGTATCTTCTAGCCAAAATATTTTTTTTTCAGAATGGATGGTTTGCTTTGCTTTGATTTCTTAGCTAGATCTACCCTATATGTAAATATTACATAAAGAAAGCTGATTCTCTGGAGCATAGGCGAGGCTCAGATTCCTATCTGTGGCAGTGGTTATAGTACGGCCAGTTAAGCTGCCCCTTGAGATGTCTGCATCCCCTGTTGGAATGCTGGTTCAAGTTCCTGCCACTCCTCCCTTCTATCTGGCTTCCTGCTTCCTGCTACTGTACCCAGGAGGCAGCAGATGGTGGTCCACGTACTGAGGCTCCTGCCACCCATTTGGGAGACCTGGATGGAATTCCTAGCTCCTGGATTCTTAGGTCTGTCTCAGCCCCAGCACTTGTAGGCATTTGGGGAAATAACCAGTAGATGGAAGATATCTCTCACTTTGTCTCTATTTTTTTTCATATTACTCTCTCTGTCAATCTACCTTTCCAATGAATAAATATTTTAAAAAAGATTTCTGGGCATTCAATTCCTGCCAACATCATTCTTGACTTTGTTCTGAAGACCAATCTGTAACCTACCACATGTGCCTGGAGGACACAATATAAAAACGTTGACCTATTTCAGTCCCTTTGCTTTTAGGGTAGAGAAACTAAGGCAAAACTACTGAAATGAGATCAGTCATGGAGAGAGAACAAGCCTGGATATATTGATTGTCATCTACTGGGATATGGGGGCTTCCGTAGAAAACATACGAAGTTTAAGAGAGCAGATCATACTTGGAGAAAGTGGTCTTCCTTCTCTTTTTTTTTTTTTTTTTTTAACCAATGATATGATTTTCTTGATTGAACATGTTTAAGAAAAAAGGAAAAGTTTGCAGAAAAAGGGAATTAAAATATAAGTTTATTTTTGTGCAAAACAATGGAAATATATACATATTTTTTTCCAAACAATGAAGTTGTCATAAACTTGGAAGACCCCTTGTAATCATGCAGGTAACAAAAACACACATACACACAAAAAAACTTGTACCAAAATAAACTCTAAATTGCATTACTCATGAACATTTCAAAGTACCCTGCATTACAGCAACAGTTCTCTAAATGTGGTCTCTCAACAGTAACATCAATATCACATTTGAGAAATAAAAATTCCTGGGCTACCCTAGATCTATTGAATCAAACACTTGGATGTTGGGGCTCAACAATGTTGATCTAACAAGATCTCCAGGTATTCTGATATTTGTTAAAGTTTGAAACATTGCATTAAAAAATTCCACGAAGCCAGAATATGACATAATGGATTAAGCCACAGCCTGCAATGCCAGAATTCTATATGGTACCAGTTTGAGTTCCAGCTGCTACACTTCTAATCCAGGGAAAGCAGTGTAGGATGCTTCAAGTGCTTGGGACCCTACACCCATGTGGGAGACCTAGATGAAGCTCCTATATCCAGGCTTCTGCCTGGCCCTGTCATGGCCCCTGTAGCCATTTAGGGAGTGAATCAGCAGATGGAAGACTCCCTCCCTCTCTCTCCCTCCCTCTCTCCCCCCTCTCTTTCTCTCTCTCTCTCCCTCCCTCCCTCCCCTCTTTCTGTAATTTTGCCTTTCATATAAATAAAACCAATCTTCCAAGAAAGCAAATTCCCTGAAAATTAATTCCTTAAGTAAAATTATTTGATTTGTTCACTACTAATGGATAAAACCCAGTATAAAGATAAATAAAATGCTATAAAAAAGATTTAGTAGGGAAGAATGAAGCTAAAATTTGGTAATCTACCATAGAACAAGCACTGTCTGATCCCATAGTGTGCTGTGAAAAATGCGATATATCTCGATTTTACTAATGGAAATTTTCAACTAGGGAAGATGAAATAATTGTCTAAGATCATTTAGCTGGAGGTTGCAAGTCTAGAATTTGAATCAAGGTGCAGTTGATTCCACAGTCCTCATCCTTTCTGTTATTCATTGAAAACCACTGGATTTCACACATATTTGCAATGTAATAACTACAACCCTAGGGTAAAAGCCACATATTTCATTTTCATTGTCATTCTGGAGTGCTTTGATTTTTATTATTTTCTGTATGTAATATATATATATATCTTTCTTAATGTTACAAAGAAACAACAATCTGTCACTCGGAAATAAATATGCCTTTTCTACTCTTTTTTTTTTCATTTTACTTAGGCCTACTTGAATATAAATCCTTACACTTCTATGTACTTGCCTAATGATGACAGGCTAATACATGCGTATGTACTTACTATTTTTTCTATAGAAGTAAATATAACTCCGGTGTGTCCTGTTTGGGGCATCTGAAAAATGAATCATCACCTTAGATATTATGTAAATAAAATCATATAAGTATTATGTAAATGAAATTACATGTAGATGTAAT